CAAAGAAACAGGGGGTTTGGAGGAAGAGAGGAGCTCAGGACAGGTGTTGGAGGTGGCAGTGAGCCAGAAGCAGGAGAGGGAAAGATGAGACAGAAGTTAGAGGGTGAGGAGCAGAGATTGGAGCAGGGTCAAACCATAGTAAAGCAAAACCCAACTTAGGGGTCCAAATAACAGTTTTATTAGCTGCATCCTGTACACAACCCTGCCTCCCCACAGTGACTTCGAAAGATTTTTGTATTCTTCAGTGTTTAAAAGGTTATATACATATAGAATTCAAACAAAAAACAGATTACAAGTTCATCCCTGAAGAATTCCAGATATAAATTAATTGAAATTTTGTACTGTACTTTTTTTAACAAATTGTTTGTTTTATTCAGCCACAATTATCCATGCTTTTAGGATGTCCAGGAGAATGAAATCTCTTGATCTCCTTTGTATCTAATTTCATCCCCACCCTTTTCCTTAATCTCTTTTCCTTAATCTCTCACACTCCCTCAGCTATTTGACTTCAAAATACAAGCATGTTTTAGTCACTCCTTACTTAAATAAAAATTCCCTTGCCTTTCCCTTGTTTTTTCCAGCTACCATTCCATTTGCTTTGTTTCAACTCTTAATTCTCCAAGGCCACTGAACACATCATTTACAATACACGTGTGGAGTTTGTCACCTTTAAACCCATCCTAGAACCTTAATGATTCAGAACCCCATGTGCTCCACTGAACAAGCTCCAAGCAAAAAATTAATGACCTCTTCCTAACCAAATCTCAGAGCCATCACACTATCCTCTTCTTCCGTGACTATTCAACTTCCTTTGACACAAGTAGCAATGAGGTCCTTCTTGAAATTGTATGTTCCCTAGGGTGTTTTACTTCCCTTTTTTAGATTTTCTCCTCCATTATGTTCAGGATCCTGATTTTCTCCAATTAAAAAAAATCCCCAATTTTCAGATTTAAAAAAGTAATCCAAAATCCACATTTGTCCATAATGAAAATGAAACACTGCTAATATATATATATTATATGTGTATATATATATATATGTATGTATTAAAAAAAGAAAAACTGGGGGTTTTGCTACAACTTAACTGATTTGTCTCAAACTGATTTACGCAATGTCTGTCAGACCCCTTGCTCGTTTAAGATAAACCAGGCACCCCCAGCATCCTGGCATGCTCTCTGAGCTGGGCAGAGGTCTCTGCTCCACAGCAGGGCTGGCCCCTCCCCTCTGCTCCCTGGCTACAGCTCAGCAGAGACTTGAAGGCACAGCAGCATCTGCCTGGCTTCTCCCTGCTTAGCAGGGATTATTCCCCCCTCCCCTCTGCTTTATGCAGGCGCCTCAGCATTAGTTAGCAAACCACATGCTGGCTACAGCCTGTGCTGTGGGAGACAACCAAGGCAGACAGACTTTTTGGAGCTAATCATCAGGCAGCTTAATGTCCTTCCTTGGAAAAGCTGTTTAAGAAGAGCTGTTTGCTCCCCTGCTCCCCCTTACCACTCCCTGCTAAGCAGGAATTTCCCCCTCCCCTCTGCCTTGCTGAGACATGTCTGTGTATTAGCTAGCAGATCACATGCTAGCTATGGTCCATGCTGAATCAACAGGTAGCTGGTAATGTCCCTCTGTTGTTTTCTTAATGGGGTGATAAACACTGATTTGGCGGGGGGGAGGGGGATTAATACTGTTATCAATTCCCTGCTAGGCTAATCAGAGCATCCTGCCAGGGCCTGGTCATGCCCCCCCTCAGCTCAGTACTGTGCAAGGGAAGGGAGGGCTGCTGTAGTGCCCTCCAGCTTCTAGTCTGAGCCACTGCAGACATGTGCTTGCATGTCTGGGATGTCTGTGCAGTTACAAAGTGTTTTAACTTAGCCAGGTTAGACTAACCTGCAAAAATTGAATCAATTCAGGCTCAGGCTTTTTCAATGTCTGTCCCTAGCCCTAAAGTCAATGGCAACATTTTCTGAGTACCATAATAAGGCCGTGTCTTTCCTTCATAGGAAAAAAAATCGCAAGTTCCTCCTTTGTATACATATGAACTACTCAGAACATCTGGAATACAATTCTTTGTCTTTCTTTGTTTTACCATTGCTTTTAATTTCAGTTCAGTTGTTTTTGAAAAACAAAAAAATAAAAACCTGACCTTTTTAAAAATAAAAACAAGCATAAAAATTATCTCACAAAATTGTAGAATGTGTGTGTGTGTGTGTGTGTGTGTGTATCTATAGAAAGAGGATAGCAACATTGCTGCCAGAGTTTGAATTATACCTGGCTTCTCCCTGCTTAGCAGGGATTATTCCCCCCTCCCCTCTGCTTTATGCAGGCGCCTCAGCATTAGTTAGCAAACCACATGCTGGCTACAGCCTGTGCTGTGGGAGACAACCAAGGCAGACAGACTTTTTGGAGCTAATCATCAGGCAGCTTAATGTCCTTCCTTGGAAAAGCTGTTTAAGAAGAGCTGTTTGCTCCCCTGCTCCCCCTTACCACTCCCTGCTAAGCAGGAATTTCCCCCTCCCCTCTGCCTTGCTGAGACATGTCTGTGTATTAGCTAGCAGATCACATGCTAGCTATGGTCCATGCTGAATCAACAGGTAGCTGGTAATGTCCCTCTGTTGTTTTCTTAATGGGGTGATAAACACTGATTTGGCGGGGGGGAGGGGGATTAATACTGTTATCAATTCCCTGCTAGGCTAATCAGAGCATCCTGCCAGGGCCTGGTCATGCCCCCCCTCAGCTCAGTACTGTGCAAGGGAAGGGAGGGCTGCTGTAGTGCCCTCCAGCTTCTAGTCTGAGCCACTGCAGACATGTGCTTGCATGTCTGGGATGTCTGTGCAGTTACAAAGTGTTTTAACTTAGCCAGGTTAGACTAACCTGCAAAAATTGAATCAATTCAGGCTCAGGCTTTTTCAATGTCTGTCCCTAGCCCTAAAGTCAATGGCAACATTTTCTGAGTACCATAATAAGGCCGTGTCTTTCCTTCATAGGAAAAAAAATCGCAAGTTCCTCCTTTGTATACATATGAACTACTCAGAACATCTGGAATACAATTCTTTGTCTTTCTTTGTTTTACCATTGCTTTTAATTTCAGTTCAGTTGTTTTTGAAAAACAAAAAAATAAAAACCTGACCTTTTTAAAAATAAAAACAAGCATAAAAATTATCTCACAAAATTGTAGAATGTGTGTGTGTGTGTGTGTGTGTGTGTATCTATAGAAAGAGGATAGCAACATTGCTGCCAGAGTTTGAATTATATCCTACAGTCCTCAGTGTGTGTGTGGGGGGGGGAGGTGGGAAGTCTGTCTATAGCTAGATACCCTCCTCACACACACACACACACACACACACACACACACACACACACACACACTGAGGACTGTAGGATATAATTCAAACTCTGGCAGCAATGTTGCTATCCTCTTTCTTTTTACTTCCACTGGTGTCAAGCCAGCCTAGGGAGACAGGATTGGGCCCTAAATAATACTATGACAAATCAGCCCCTCTTTTATTACCAACTGGATCTCTCGCCATTCACTTCAAGACCCCCAGTTCTTTGGTGGTCTTCTGTTTTGACATCTGCTTACCCTTATCTCCAATCAGTTTTGTTGATAGACATTTCCCTTGAGTGAGGAGAAGTTGTCAAATAGATTTTTTAAACCAGCTACTACTAAGTAGTCAGGAAATTATCTTTGTGGCCTGAGAGAGAGAGAGAGTTCCTGACATTCCCATGCAGACAGCTAAGTTTTACTGTACCCTTTCTGATTTGTTCTGTTTCATTTTTATGCTCTCTTTTATCCTGAAATAATAATTTTAACATGTTTTTGTCTCTTATATCTGCAATGAGCAAACTGGGCAATACCCCAAAACACCCAATGGATCAGAGAATAAAGCAGTCATTTAAACCATGCTAATTTACTGTAAAAACTACAGGATGTACAGAAATCTACCAGGATTTACATTTTATACCTGCACAAATTCTGCAAGAATTGAATTTAAACCATATTATTTAAGGGAATAACGAGTAGTTTTGTTTTGTTTTAGTATGTGAATTTGAGAAAGTGGCAACCTGGAAAACAAGTGTCTGGTGAACCTGGGGTGGGGTTCTGAAATGAAGGGTTTTTTTCCTCAAAAGATTGACTTCAAATATCACAGGTATATGGGAAGCTGAAGCATCTGCAGACTTGATTTCCACTTTTAACTCAACTAGCGGGGTACAAAGGCAGCACAGCAGTAAAAACCACTACAGTAGCCTTTGCTGACAATGTTCACAATTTAAACTGTCATTTATGAGACATCCCAGAAATCATTTTTTACTTTCAGGTACTATCCAAAGAATGTCGTTTTAAGTCCAGTTTTAGAAATAAACAAACCTACAACAATACACTTCGGGACCCAAAGCCCCAACTCTTGTTGCCAATGATGCCAGTGTCAATGACTAGACATTGTTCTAAGAAACACTGAGAAACATACCACAGCCACACTAAGAAACAGACCATAGCAACAGCCCTGTTGAGGTATGAATTCAGACCTGAAAGTGTTTGCTGAAGGCAGAAGCACCAAGGGGTCCGAACTTTTTTTCTGTGGAACCTGCCTGCCTCTCCCATGGCCAGGGGGTGAACTCATGTTTGCAATGATGCAAACTCACCCAAAACTCTCAAAACTTGCGTCTGTATCATGTGACGACATTAAGCACCACAAAGGGAAATTTTTGTCATTTGTACATTGTGATATCATCACATGTACAAGCACTCTGGCCTGTGCCTGCATTCAGCAGGCTGTCATTGTTCAGCAATGCACTAAAGCATGCGCTTAACTTAAGGTCTGAAGTCACGCTGACTAAACTTAGGGATGTGCCTAAAGTTAAGTGCATGCTTGAGTGGTCTGCTGAATGGAGATGGATTTGAAGCTTATAGGATTTTTGAATTGGGGCCTGGTTTCTTAGCTCATGCATCCTAGCTCTATTAGATCAATGGAGGTGCTACAGTAAGCAAATAAATACCAGTAACAAAAAGGTTCCAACAGTATGAACAATTTAATCATTTGATCAATGGTTCTGGATCATTTCAAATGTGTGTCTTTTTTAAATGAATTATTAAACACTAGCAATTCCCAGTGGGCTTGTACCTTCTGAATGTCAGTGATTTCTTCATGTTAGGCTTAGTTTTTCCCTTCTGAGTATAATCCATGTTGTTCTGACAGGTTTTATGAGTGGTATATCAGGTCCTTCACTTCATCCCACCAACCTGCTAACTGACCACTGAGCTTCCTCGATGACTATAATACAACAAGGACCAAAAGAATAGTGATCAACAGATCTTCAGCTTGCGTAAACCAGCCTTAGTCTAATAAATGCACACTAGACTGTTCACTTGCTTACAGTTCAGCTTGTGCATAAGTCTACAAAGTATATGGCCCTACAAGTCATATATAAGTAATATAGATAAGTATATATAAGTAATTATATAAGTAATAACGTTTGCTCCAAAATGAAGGCCTGCGAAGCAGAGAATGTTGGCTAGGATGAACATTGGACTTCACAGAACAAACATCACAGTGGTCTCTGTGACTTGTTGGCTGAAAACCTTAACACTTTTTTTCATTGTAGACAGGGTTAGGATACTTTAAGATATTTTGGACTTGGTTCCAGGCTTCCCCATGATCTGGGAACATTTGTTTCTGGGGCTTTAGTTCCATCCTTTGCAGACATATGACTAAGAACTTTGACTCTGGCTCTAGTTTCAAATTGCCTGCAAGTATTCTGGTTCTGGGAATTTGTTCAAGCCTATCTCTAACATGAGTCTTTCTGATCCTGCTCTGGTTGCTGGGTTCTTTGAACTAAATGAATACAATTTAGCAGCTTTGAGGCCCTGAATATATAAGACTGAACTTTCACATCTAGAAGTGGCTCTTTTTTTTTTTTTAAGCTCAGGAGTACAAGTTGAAGCATTTTTTGCACGGCTCCCCACAGACTACTGAGTCTATATCATCAAACACTATTCTGTTGTTTTGGCAATATTCACACAAACAAGAACATTGTAACATTGGGATTTTTCTTGTATTATTTCTTCTCCCCGCCTCCATCTGTCTCTTGCTGCCTGTCTCTCCTACATTTGAGAGACAAAATTTGTAGGGGCAGCAAGGATGAGATCATTGGTCTGTGAGAAGTGACAGGAAAGCTGGCTGCGCCATTCAGTGCTCCACGTACCCTTTTTCCCATGCCACAGATCTGATGTTATTTCCCTATCCACAACTGCAAGGAGACATCATCAGCACTCTGGAGACGGTGCTTGCCAGCCACTCTGGTAAAACTTCAAGAGTGCAGATAAGGCTCTGAGATATGGAGCCATCAAAATGTGAATGTTTAGCACTGA